CGGGTGCAGATCATGACTTCTGAGGAGAGTTCTTCCTTCGCTTTGCCCCTGGGCTCCCTGGCTGGGTCCCACGAACCTTGCCTAGAGAGGGCCCCTGCTTTACCCTCCTGGGTCTCACGTAGCTTTCAGCAGCTTCGCTGAGGCTCAGGGACAGGCGGGTGGTGCTAAGGAGGAGTAGGCTGTGCACAGGTGAGTCCCAGCTCTGCCACGTCCCTGCTGTGTGACCTTCACAGGTGACTCCACCTCCGTGTGCCTGGGTCCCCACAGCAGAAATGCTGGCTCTTGAGAATTGCAGTGCTCTTGAGAGTCAAGCAAGGTGGTGTCTGGAGCTGGCCATTCAGTATTGTTATTTTTACAGTCGTGGTTTCCCCAGGGCTCTCCTCTGGGGGCTAGAAGATACTTGAGGCCCAGCTTCAGGGGGAGCTCCCCTTTGCCCCAGACCCCATGTTGCAAACCCTTGAGAAGGATCCTGGACAGAGGCCCTTGCTTTTCGTCTGGAATTCCGAATGCTGCAACCTTGCAACTTTGATCCAGTTAGAATTGGATCGGAGGCTTGTCAGGCAGCAGGCGAGCTCCAGTTACTCCCAGATAACCTCCTGCATCGCTGTGGTTTCTGGAGCTCTCTGTAGGGTGGGCAGTGGGAGCCAGGGTAGGTGGGGTAGGCCCGCCCCTGCAGGTGTCTTCGGCACCCTCCCCAAGTTGAGTGCCTTCCGCCCAGCCCTGTGTGCGGTGCTGTGTGCCCGCAGTCCACCAACCTCTTAGCCCCAGGCCCTGGTTGGGACTAAGAGAGCTGGGAGGGCTGAGCTCGTCCAGGTGGCAGAGCCACTCTTGGAGCCCCAGCTGGGGTGGCTCCAGGGCCCGTGCTCCTGATTCCCATCTGGAGTAGCCTCCCAGAGCTGCTTCTGGGCTGGTGGTGTGGCTGTGCCGTCTTTCATGTATTCGGGTTCTCTCCACAGAAAGACCATCTGTGTTCTCTCCACCCCTCTCTTTGAAAACAAAGATGATACCACGCTTACATCTTAGTCTGCAATCTGCCATCTTCACGTGACAGTCTCTCAAGATTTTTATATATGAAAGACATATTTTCCTTTTTAATATATTCACTGTATCTCTTAGGAGATCTGTGATTTTTTTTTTTCTCAATCCACCATCATTTACTCAGAGTCAGCATTAAAAAAATTTAAAATTTGTGAGAGGACAACTATGTCTGATAAAGCATGTCATGGAAGGCTGGGCACGGTGGCTCACACCTGTAATCCCAGCACTTTGGGAGGCTGAGGCGGGCAGATCATGAGGTCAAGAGATCGAAACCATCCTGGCCAACATGGTGAAACCCTGTCTCTACTAAAAATACAAAAATTAGCTGGGCATGGTGACGGGTGCCTATAGTTCTGGCTACTCTGGAGGCTGAGGCAGGAGAATTGCTTCAACCAGGGAGCCACTGCACTCCAGCCTGGCAACAAAGCGAGACTGTCTCCAAAAAGAAAAAAGAAAAAAAAAACCTGTCGTGGGGTCGGCTTCTGCCCCGTGCCCCCGCCCCCCCGTTTTTTGTTTTTTGTTTTTTTTAAAAACAGGAATATTAGTGTAGCGTTTGGGAATTAGGCTATAATTTGTTCCAAAGAGGGCATGGGTTAAAGCAAGTTGAGAAATACTGGCTTGAGACGTTGGGCCAGGGAGTGCAGAAGCCAACACCTCTCTGCCTGGGTGTGCACCAAGGCTCAGTGTATGCTCTGCCCGGGTCTGCGCTGGGCCTTGCTGTGCTCTGGCTCTGGGACCACCTGGACTTTGGCTGCCTCACTCTTTCATTACCCAAGTATCTACCGAGTATCCACCATGAGTTCTGGGTGCAGAACCATGTTCAAAGCAGGTGGAAATCTCCGCCTCCATGGGGTGGACAGAGATGGGTTGTGGGGACTCCAGTCTCTGAGTGGGTGGGGAGGGCAGCGTGTCTTTTGTGATTCCAGCTACCAAGGCTGGAACAACTGCTGTTTTTCTGGAATCCGGTTTTTTAATCTGTGCCTCAGTTCCTCCTTTGTAATGGGTGGGAGTGGGAGTGGTTGATGATAGCGAGTGCTTCCCATGTGTTATTAGAGGCTGTTCCTTTTCCTCGACTCCCAGTTCCCTTCCCTGGAGGCAGGCAGGGCTCCAGGATCGTGACTGCTCTGTTGGAGATGTTTGTGCCTGTGTGAGTTTGTGTCCGCAGAAGTTCATTATTTTGTAACTCAGGAGCACAGAACTGTACACTGTTCTTCACCTTCCTTCATTTTGAAATGTTTCATAGAGGCGGGATCTTCCTGTGTTGTCCAGGCTGGTCTGGAATTCCTGGGCTCAAACCATCCTCCAGCCTCTGCCTCCCAAACTGCAGGGATTACAGGAGTGAGCTGCCTCACCCGGCCCTGCACCTTCCTTTTTTCCTTAAGAGGTCTCAGGTCATCCCAAGTCAGCATACAGACCTGCCTCCGTCTTTCCCCCAGCTGCAGAATGTCTCATTGCACAGATACCTCACAGGCATTCTACCTTACAACAGCCTGTGTTTTAAACACTGCTGTGATATTTCATCAAATCGAAGGTGCTGTCATTGGGGGGGCACCTTATTTCATATAGTGCCAAGAAAAAGGAGTGCCCAGTTAAATCAAGACAGACCCCAACTGTGAGATGCACCTGCATTTCAGCAGTGTCAAAATGTGGAAGAGGGTGCATGGTGGGACGGATGGAAATAGAAGTAGTTTCGCGTGGTACACCAGGAAACGACACTGGGGAGGAATACAGCCCAGCAGGGTGCCCCGGCTTGGATTTTGAAGCCCAATCCCAGCCACTTGTTCCCTGCCTGATCTTGGGTGGGTGCCCCAGTGCCTCAGGAACACAGGAGCAGTGACACTTGCCCTGGGGCGGGGGCCACCCTGGAAGATGCGTGTGAAGGGCTGGCTGTACTCCCTGTGGCTTATTTAAATCACTGGGATTTGGGAAGTTGCCTACTTGTACTCTTTGAATTTTCTCATTATTAGTAAACATTTTATTTTTCCTATTGGTCATGTGGGTATTTTCTAGACACAAGCAAAATACACAGAGGGTTCAAAATGCATTGGGTTGAAAACACCTAATTGTGGTGTGGTCAAAAATGGGGGATGTGGACAATTTGGTGTCATTCAGCCTAGTATATTTTTCATTTTGGTCTCTGGTCATTTTCACTTATTAGGCAGAACAGTTTGTAAGTATCCAAAGAAAATTCTTTCCTTTTTTTTGCTGATTGCAGTGGCATGATCATGGCTCACTGCAGCCTCCACCTCCTGGGCTCAAGCAGTTCTCCCACCTCAGCCTCCGAGTAGCTGAGACCACAGGCATGTGCCACCACAACACCTGGCTAATTTTTTATCTTTGGTCTCTACAAAATGGGTATCCGTGTTGCCTAGGCTGGTCTCAAACTTCTGGATGCAAGCCATCCTCCCACCTCAGTCTCCCAAAGTGCCAGGATTGCAGGTGTGAGCCACCAAGCCTGGCCCAAAGACAGTTCTTTCCCAGCAAGTTCTAAACCATGAGTGACAGAACTAGTTTGTTGTTTATTTTTTTATTATTATTATTTATTATTTTGAGATGGAGTCTCACACTGTTGTCCAGGCTGGAGTGCGATGGTGCGATCTTGGCTCACTGCAACCTCCCCTTCCTGGGTTCAAGTGATTCTCCTGCCTCAGCCTCCCAAGTAGCTGGGACTACAGGCGCATGTCACCACACCTGGCTAATTTTTTGTATTTTTAGTAGAGACTGGGTTTTACTATGTTGGCCAGGCTGGTCTCAAACTCCTGACCTCAAGGGATCCTACGCCTCGGCCTCCCAAAGTGCTGGGATTACAGGCGTGAGCCATCGCACCTGGCCTGTTTTTATTTTTTATTTTTGTTTTTTGAAAACTTTTTTAGAGATGGGTCTTGCTGTGTTGCCCAGGCTGGTCTTGAACGCTTGGGCTCAAGCACTTGGCCCACCTCGACCTCCCAAAATGCTGGGATTACAGGTGTGAGCCATAGTACTTAGCTTCTAGTCGACTGTTTTTAAACCAGACTCCCTTCTGCTGGAACCTGCTTCTTGTCCACCAGCTTCTCTCCTCTACGTCCCTGGGCTGCCAGGACCTCTGTCCCTGCCATGCAGACTCCCTGCTCCCAGCAGACTGTCCCCTCCAGGGATCCTGCGGGCTAGCTCTTGCCTTATAATGTCTTCGGCTCCTTTGGCTAATGAATGCTGCTGCTTACTCTTGGTTTAACTTTACAAAACATTGGTAACTTATAAACTGGAGCTTGTCATTTGTTCTGAAGAATTTACAGGAGCCCCGTCTCTCCCTCATTCAAGGCTCAGGGTGCTGGCTCATTTTCAAGGGGCTGTGAAAAGAGAGGGTCACTCCTTTTTGATCATTTGCCTGCTGCCTGGCTTCAGATGGCCCTCAGGCCAGGTCACTTTAGGGAAATTGGTGATCTCTCTTTGTATTCCACTTTTTTTTTTTTTTTTTTTTTAAGACGGAGTCTTGCTCTGTCACAAGGCTGGAGTACAATGGCGTGATCTGTGCTCACTGCAACCTCTGCCTCCTGGGTTCAAGCAATTCTCCTGCCTCAGCCTCTTGAGTAGCTGGGATTACAGGCGCCTGCCACCATGCCCGGCTAATTTTTGTATTTTTAGTAGAGACGGGGTTTTGCCATGTTGGCCAGGCTGGTCTCGAACTCCTGACCTCGTGATCCATCCGCCTCAGCCTCCCAAAGTGCTGGGATTACAGGCATGAGCCACCGCGCCTGGCCTGCGTTCCACACTTACCCGCTCCTCACCATCACAGCCGGGGGTCTGTGGAGTTTCACTCAGGTCCCTTCAGCTCTCTCTGGTTCTGACAGATCTTGCCCAAATTCCCATGGGTATGTGGTCATTTGCTTGCCTGTTGCAGGGGGTGGCTGGGAGGTGGCACTCAGCCCTTTGACTCTGAGGCCCAGGACTCCTGGCTCCTGGGACTCACGTGTGTCCCTGCATAGGGAGGAATGGATGCGGGCCATCCAGATGGTTGCCAACAGCCTCAAGCAGCGGGCCCCAGGTGAGGACCCCATGGACTACAAGTGTGGCTCCCCCAGTGACTCCTCCGCGGCCGAGGAGATGGAAGTGGCGGTCAGCAAGGCACGGGCTAAAGTGGTAAGTGCTGGAAGCAGGGGTGGGGCTGCCAGCCTGTGATGCCCCCCACCCCCATTGCTGGCTGTGCTCTCCTTGGTTTCCCTACACAGTTCAGGGGGCTCAGCTGAGAGACAACAGAGCTGCCCTGCAAGGTGGGGTGATTTCAGGTGGCAGGTGCCCTCGGGTCTTCTCCGTGCCCGTGGGGGAGGGAGCAACCCTAGGTGGACCCACTGCAGCTTCGTCTTGGGAGGTGGTGAAGACCTGGCTAGCCCCACGTCAGAGCCCAGCCCTCCCAAGGCCCTGTGCCCGCAGAGCCTGGTCTGAAGGCCACTTGAGAACACACAGTTGCTGCCCAGAGCCTCCCTTCCTGCTCCAGCCTAAGCCGTTTGGCAACAGTGTCTTGGTTTTCCTCTTTCTTTTGTTAAAATTTCCTCCCATGGGCCGTGAGCCAGGCGCTGACTGCCCCCACTCTCCCTGTCCCTGGCAGACCATGAATGATTTCGACTATCTCAAACTCCTTGGCAAGGGAACCTTTGGCAAAGTCATCCTGGTGCGGGAGAAGGCCACTGGCCGCTACTACGCCATGAAGATCCTGCGGAAGGAAGTCATCATTGCCAAGGTGCGTGCCCCGGGAACTGTGCTTGCTGGCCCCTGCGGGGGCTGCAGTCTGGAGCCTGACCCTGAGGCCTGGACGCTTACCCACGCTTTCTGCTGCCGTGGGCTTATTTCCCCCACGAGTTCCCTCCAGACAGAAAAGGGGGAGCCTGAGGCCCAGAGAGGAGCAGCAGGCCTTGCTGCTGAGTCCCCACTTCCACCCTCTGGTAGGGGCTGGGGGTGCCTGTGGAGAGAGCGAGCCTGGGGGCCTCACCCAGCAGGTACTGTCAAGGGAGGCTAGGGCCTGTTGGGGAGGCTGTGAGGACGTGTCTGTTGGGGAGGCCAGGGCTCTGCTCAGGGTATCCCAGTTGGAGGTCGGGCCAAGAATGGAATTCTACTTTTTCCCTTATTTGAAGTTTTTGTAGTGGAAGATTCCAAAGATATTCAAAAATTTAAAAAGAAAATAAATATTACGGACCCCCATGTAGCCACTGTCCAGTTTGACCAGTTATCAGCGTTTAGCCAGCCTTGTTTCCTTAGCTCTGCCTGCCTCTCTTATTCTGGACTACTCTGAGGCCTGTCTTAGACATCACGTCGCTTCACTCATCCACACTTGAACACGTGCCCTGACAGATGAAGGCTGTAAAGAATATAATCGTGCTGCTGCCATCAGAGCCAGTCACATTAACTGTTCATTCCTGATGTGGTGATCGGGCCTAAGGCAGCATTCCTCAGCCTCAGCACTGTTGACATTTTGGGACAGATTGTTCTGTGCTGTCGGGGCAGCCCTGTGCATTGTAGGGTTTTAGCAGCACCCCTGGCTTCTACGCACTAAAGCCAATAGTAGCTCCCTAGGTTGTGACAATCAAAAATGACTTTTGGGTTGGGTGCTGCAGCGTATGCTTGTAATTCCAGCACGTTAGAAGGCTGAGGTGGGAGGATCGCTGGACTGGGCTCGTTGACCAGCCTGGGCAACAAAGCGAGACCCTGTCTCTATAAAAATAAATTAGCCGGGCATAGTGGCGTGCACCTGCAGTCCCAGCTGCTCAGGAGGCTGAAGTGGGAGGATCAGTTGAGCCTCAGAAGTTGAGGCTGTAGTGACCCATGTTCACACCACTGCACTCCAGCCTGGGCAACAGAACCAGACCCCCAGCTAAAGAAAAAAAAGACATTAGACATTTTCAGGTGTCCCCTGGGGATCAACTTGCCCCAGGGAGAGCCTGTGTGAAGTTGCTGCAGGTGGCTCCAGATTTTTGGAACCTCTCCTGGTGGTTCTGCTGTACAGTCAATTAGAACCTGAATTAGAGTCACCCAGAGGGCTTGTGAGACAGCGCTGGGCCCACCCTGAGTTTCTGACCCAGTGGGCCTGGGGGTAGGTCCCAGGAATTTGCATTGCTGCCAGTTCCCAGGCAGTGCTGATGTGCCCCGTGTGGGGACCACACCCTAAGAAGCACTGCTTTGCTGTCTAGAGCTTCGTTAGGCCCAGTTCCTTCTTTGGGCAAGAGCGCTGTCTAGGTGGGGCTTCCCACAGCCTGTGGTGGCACCTCGGGGCTCTTGTGATGTCTGTTTGTCTCCCCTGCAGGGACATCACAAGTATCTTGCCCCTAGCAGCCTGGTCCCTTCATTGTGACATTGCTGCTGACTTTTCACCTGTGGCTTTGAGAGCCACTGATGATCCTCGTCTGGGTCTGTGATTTGCTGAGGGCTTGCAGGCATTCACATTTCACTCCTGTGATTGTTTCTGCATTTATGGCTAGGAATGGAATTGCATTTCACAAGGCCTTGCTCCCCTTCCTGGGTCGGGGTGGGGTGGGCAGGCATGGTGTTGCCCACCAGCCTCTCACCCGCAGTCTGTCTGCAGGATGAAGTCGCTCACACAGTCACCGAGAGCCGGGTCCTCCAGAACACCAGGCACCCGTTCCTCACTGTGAGTTGCCCTCCCTTTCCCAGACAGTGTGAGGCCAGCCTTTGGACAGAGCTCAGAGAAAGAGCCCAAATCTTCTGCTACAAAGCACAGCCTTGGGGGAGGCCAGGCGGCCAGGGCACGGTGTTGCTGCGCCCTGCCAAGTCATCCGAACCGAGACGTGTGGGGGTGAGCAGGCTCAGGGAGTGGGAGGGTGACAGCTTCTTCAGAGATGGTGGCTTCGTATAAGCACTTGAACCAACTGAAGATAACACATTATTTGATGGCTGCTGTCTCTATGAGTTAGGGCACTTAGCCCAGCTGGTTGAAGTAGAAATATTATTTTGTTTTTGTTTTTGTTTTCAGATATGCTCATAGAAGCAGATATGTTAGCATTGTGTTGTCTGTCCGCTTGGACTGAGTAGATGCCTATTTGGGCTGCAGTCTCCATCGAGGCCAGTGGCCACCAGTTAAATGGATTAGATTAAGGATGGCTTATGTATCATTTCTTTATCTCAGTTGCTGTCCAGGTATCCTATTAAGCCACAGTACTTTTTCAAAAAACTCTTATGAGGTACCTCAGTGTAGAAAACAGAATAGTTGAGTTGTCATGAGCTGAGGGAACCCCTGTCCATCCTGTTGTTGAAGTTGGCTCCCAAGCCTTTGCCACTCCCAGCCACAGCAGACATCACTTGTGTGTGTAAGTTGAACACATTTTACTGTAAAAACAAGAGCCCTGGTTGCTCAGTACAGCTCTAGTTTTCCCCTGGCTGTGCCTGATGGAGGCAGAGGACAAGATGGTTCAGCATGTAACCCTTTCCTACCCGCAGAGCCATGCCTTCACTTAATGCCCCAAAAGGTGCAGCCAGTATGTGAACCCCATCTGGCTGATTCCCGGGGGCCCCAGCCAGGGCAGCGTGTATGTGTGCAGAATAAGCAGGGCCAGGGCCCTGCCCTGGTGTGGCTCAGCAGAGTCCTCCTCCCTCCCACCTCCTACCCTGCTGCCTTCATCCACCAGGCGCTGAAGTACGCCTTCCAGACCCACGACCGCCTGTGCTTCGTGATGGAGTACGCCAACGGTGGCGAGGTGAGCCGCGGCTGCCTTGGCTTTGCCCTCTGGGGCCTTCTTCTTTAGGGTGGGGCGGGTTGGAGAGGAGCTGTGGGTGAGATGGAAGGGTGGAGGGAAATTTCAGTGTCATCTTGTGCTCCTCTCCCTTGAGGCAGGCGGCATCATCTCCATTTTGGGGGGCGGTCACTGAGGCTCAGAGAGGTTCAGTGGCTTGCCCAGGTTCACACAGCTAGTGAGTGGGTGGGTCAGGTCCACACCAGTCCAGAGAGGTGTGGAGAGGGCTGTGGGGCAACAGCACTGGGAAGGATGGTCTTAAAGGCCCCAGAAAAGGCTCCCAAGGGTTAAAACCTAGCAGCCCTCTGTTCCCGTGTCCTTCCAAAGTGGATTCCAGCAGCCACTCAGCTCCCCCTCACAGAGTTACCTCACTTCTGTCACCCACTGCTTGCCTCGCGCCTTCTCTGTGCAGCGGTTGGCACGCCTGTATTGGGATGGGAGGTTTGCTCATCCGTCCGATCTGGGCTTGCCCACGGCCTATTGTTACTTGGTCATGACGTGTGCTTCTCTTTGCCTCCATGCTGTCCTCCCTCCTCTGTCTTGGATGTCCCTGTCATACCCTCTTGTGGGTGTCTCCTGGTGGACCCTCGCCCTTCACCCCCAGGTCTGTGTCACTCGTGAGCTTCTGCGCTGTGCCTTGCTTGGTCCCTGTAGCTGTCACTTACTGGTTCATGACACAGGTGTCACCACATCACTGGGCTGGGGTAGGGGGTTGGGAAGGTGAGGGCAGGTGGGTAGGCTGGGGCCTGACCTCCTCTCCTCACTCCTTCCTCCTGCAGCTGTTCTTCCACCTGTCCCGGGAGCGTGTCTTCACGGAGGAGCGGGCCCGGTTTTATGGTGCAGAGATCGTCTCGGCTCTTGAGTACTTGCACTCGCGGGACGTGGTGTACCGCGACATCAAGGTTAGTGGCAGGGTGTGCACCAGGCTGACCTGTGGCACGCACACCACATGGGACTCACACTGGGGAGGTGGGACTGAGGCCTTCTGCCCTCATTCACCAAGCTTCCCACCAAGGTCCAGGGTGGTGGTTCTGTAGCAAGTGGCCCCAAGTAGGGACCTTTCCAAGCCTCCCACGAGCACTCCTAGGCCGCTAGTGGAGTGTGAACTGACACAATCCCTACTTTATTTATTTATATTTATTTATTTATGAGGAGTCCTGCTCTGTTCAGTGCAGTGGCTGTCTCTTATACACATCTAGATGTGTATAAGAGACAGCTCCTAGGCCGCTAGTGGAGTGTGAACTGACACAATCCCTACTTTATTTATTTATATTTATTTATTTATGAGGAGTCCTGCTCTGTTCAGTGCAGTGGTGCGATCTCGACTCACTGCAACCTCCGTCTCCTGGGTCCAAGCTATTGTCCTTCCTCAGCCTCCTGAGTAGTTGGGATTACAGGTGCCCGCCACCGTGCCCAGCAAATTTTTGTATTTTTAATAGAGATGGGGTTGCACCATGTTGGCCAGGCTGGTCTCAAACTCCTGACCTCGTGATCCATCCACCTCAGCCTCCCAAAGTGCTGGGATTACAGGTGTGAGCCACCGCACCCAGCCAAGTTTAGAAGATAGTTCGGCAGTGTGTGCACAAGAGAAGTGGGGACACACATTCACCTTAGAAAGTGTGCCTCCCACTCAGCAGCAGGACTCACTGTAGCCCCAACTGGAACAACCCAAGTGCCCACTGTGAGGAGAGGTCAGACCCACTGTGGAGTGTTCGCACAGTGGGGTGCCACACAGCAGTTAGGAATGAGCTACGGCGACATGCGACAGTGTGGACGCATCTCATAGGCTAATGTCGAGGGAAAGCCGCACAGAGGAGGTGAGTCCACAGTTCACAGGTGTGTCTGTGTGCAGTGGTACAGACGGGAAGTAGAGGTTAATTCTTGTGGGGGATGGTCAGTAACTGGGAGGGGCACACAGGGCCTTCCAGGGGGAGATGCCATCTCAGCCTCGCAAGCAGCTGGGACTATAGGTGTGTGCCACCATGCCTGGCTAATTTATTTTTCATATTAAAAAATATGGAGATGGGGTCTTGCTGTGTTGCCCAGGCTGGTCTCAAACTCCTGGGTTCAAGCAGTCCTGCCGCCTAAGCTCCCCAAAGTGTGAGCCACTTTGCCTGGCTGCATATTTCATAATTAAAAGACAAAAAGTCTAGGAAAAAAAAAAATAGAAGAAAGCTTGTGCCCCCATGTTCAAACGTAAGAACCTGCAGCTGACAGTGGGGGCAGTGGGTGGACAGGGCCTGGCTCTCGGTTCTCCCTGCCCAGCTGTTTCCAGGTACCCTGGGGGTGGGCCAGGGTGTGGGGAGGGTTGGGTCTGGCCTCTCTCTGAGCCTCAGAGGGTGAGGCTGTGTGTGCTGGGCCCAGCCTGGCATGGGAGGGTTGATGTCCAGGAGCCCCTGGCATCTTTCCCTGGAAGGAAAGGCTGGGGTAGCAGGAACCCCTCGGAGCACACGCCTGAGATCCATTGACTTTTGCAACAGCTGGAAAACCTCATGCTGGACAAAGACGGCCACATCAAGATCACTGACTTTGGCCTCTGCAAAGAAGGCATCAGTGACGGGGCTACCATGAAAACCTTCTGTGGGACCCCGGAGTACCTGGCGCCTGAGGTGTCTGGGGTTTGCGGGGGGAGTAGGAACATGTGAGGCCAAGGGAAGGGGGAACCCCCAGACCTGTGTGTTTCCAGCCCAGATGCCCTGAGGGCAGGACTGTGATGCCAGCCTCAGGGCCACGGGCCCAGCCCTCATTTCCCCTCCATCCTCAGGTGCTGGAGGACAATGACTATGGCCGGGCCGTGGACTGGTGGGGGCTGGGTGTGGTCATGTACGAGATGATGTGCGGCCGCCTGCCTTTCTACAACCAGGACCACGAGCGCCTCTTCGAGCTCATCCTCATGGAAGAGATCCGCTTCCCGCGCACGCTCAGCCCCGAGGCCAAGTCCCTGCTTGCCGGGCTGCTTAAGAAGGACCCCAAGCAGAGGTGAGGGCTGGCATCGGCCCCGTCCAGTCCAGCCCAGCCCAGCGCCACCTGCTGCCACTGTCCCTGCGGCCTGGAGGGGGCAGCGTTCACAATGGTGCTCGCTTGTGGGGTCGCAGTGTGTGTTGTCCCCACACAGCCCCTGAAAATGTCCACAGTGGCACTTAGGGAGTGCTCCCCCCAGGGCAGGCCCATCCTTGACACTGCCTTATGGGGGACACTTTTATGGGGACACTGAGAAACAGGGCATCCCTAGGCCTGGCTGGGGCCGCCAAACCATATGTGGCAGAGCCAGGATAGGAACTGAGCCTGCCCTGCTAACTCCCTTTCTGGACTCAAGGGTGAGGCCAGGCTGTGAGGACACATGGGTCCAGGTTGCTGACTCCCTGGCTCAGACCCTGGGCAAGTGAGCTCCCTCCCTGAGCCTCGGTTTCCTCCTGTGAAGTGGTGGTTTGTGGTCAAGATAGAATCATTAAAGGCCATACAGGGCCTGCCTGTGCCGAAAGCCCGTCTCCCCGAACCCAGCCGCTCTGGGAGGCAGGTGCTGACGGCCATCTCTGCCCAGGCTTGGTGGGGGGCCCAGCGATGCCAAGGAGGTCATGGAGCACAGGTTCTTCCTCAGCATCAACTGGCAGGACGTGGTCCAGAAGAAGGTGAGCCCCCACTGCCTGCCCCAGCTGGACCCTCAGGGGCCTGGCCCGCTCGTGCTGACCTTGGTTGATGCCTCCTGGCCTCAAGGTCCCTGAGCCTGAGCTCCTCTCCTCCGTAGCTCCTGCCACCCTTCAAACCTCAGGTTACGTCCGAGGTCGACACAAGGTACTTTGATGATGAATTCACCGCCCAGTCCATCACAATCACACCCCCCGACCGCTGTGAGTGCCTGGGGCCCCCGTGCTGGTGTGCCTGTCCCGGTGGTGGAGGGATGGGGTCTGCTCTTAACCCACTTCTCGAGGAAGGCCCTTGAAGGCCCCTGCTTCATGTCTGGGAGGTTTCCCCCAAGGTCTGCTCTCAGGTCCTTTTGCTGTTGGTCCTCTTTGGACTTGGTGAGGCCACCAGGAGCCATTGGCTGCAGCACATTCTGGAGCTCAGTGCGGGGGTTCAGGGCAGGAGACAGCCAGGTCTGTGAGGCTGGCTGGGTTCACTGCTTTACAGCTGTTTGAATTCTTACTCTGAACCCAGTCCGGTGCTGGGCTATGCTGGGGACACAGCACTGATTGAGCCAGCCCTGGGCCCTGCCCTGGAAAGCTCCCAGCCCAGGTAGGGTGGATGGCCTGGAGTGGTCAGGGCTAGGCTGTGGGAGCCCAGGGACTAGGGAATCCCAGAGGAAATAGCTGACATGGCCTGCAGTTAGGGAGGGCTTTCTGGAGGAGGAAGCAAACACGTCAGCTGCCAGAGGAATGGGAGGAATGGCATGTGGGATGCCAGCAATGGGAGAAGCATGGCACAGCCAAGGACAGGCAGCAGCCGGGAAGAAGAGAGGGCATGGGGCTGGAGTGCAAGGGTCTGGGGGCCACTGGGAGGGGTGGGGACTGCTTACATGGGGGGAGCCAACCAGGGAAGGGTTTCGTAGAGAGAGGGACAGGGTTAAAGAAGGCCTTTAGAAAGCCGCCCCCTGGGCTGCCTGTGGAGAATGGATGGGAGGGCACGAGAGGCAGGCCAGGACAGGGCTCTGGGCTGGACCCTGGCGTAGTGGTGTATGGAACAGAGAGAAAGTGGGAGGCTCAGAAGGCCCTGCCAGCTGTGGGGCGCATGGGCAAGGGCACAGGAAACTCCCAGGGGAGGCTGCCCGGGGCTCAGGTTTGGGGAGTGGAGCTGTGGCTGAGGGGCTCCATTGCAGAGGGAGGTTTCTGGGCCTTTCCTGTCTGTCCTGTGGGCAGCCCCCGCCAGCTGGGGCCATTTCCCCAGGGAGTCTGGGCAGGTGTCCCAGGCCCTCTCCTGACCGGTCCTCCCCATCCACCTCCGCCGCCCTCAGATGACAGCCTGGGCTTACTGGAGCTGGACCAGCGGACCCACTTCCCCCAGTTCTCCTACTCGGCCAGCATCCGCGAGTGAGCAGTCCGCCCACGCAGAGGACGCACGCACGCACGCAGCCATCACCGCCGGGTGGTTTTTCCCCCTAAGTTTCTACTTTGCCTTTTTGGTTTGTGTCCCCACCCCCACCCCCACCTCCTCACCCCCTTTCCAGTTCTTCTTCAGGCCCCTCCCAGACGCACCCCAGCAGCCCCTGCAGCCCCTGCAGCCCCTGCAGCCCCTGCAGCCCCTGCCTCCAGCCTCCAGCCTGACCTTTGTGCCCAGACTCGCTTTTGGGATACTCCACCTCTCGCCCAGGCCTGGGCTGTTGGAGAGATTCAGGTTTTAATCTATACAAGCCCCAGTGAGGGGTGAAGCCTGACGCCCGGGGCCTGCCTGAGTTTCTGGCCCGGGTGTCGTGCTGGTGGCTGCCTCCGCGCTGCTGCTTCCAGAGGAAGGCTGCCTTCTGGTGGGACGCGACACCCGGCAGACAGTGGTGCTGCCTTCCAGGCCCCGTGGCCTAGGCTAGGAGTGGCCAGGCACGGGGCGGTCCAACCCCCCACCTGCTGTCCCCCCATGGGGGCAGAAAAGCAATAATGTCCAGGGGCAGGCAGGGGCCCTTGGGAGCTGCAGGGTTGGGGGTTAGGGCTGCTCCCTGGTGAATGGAGCCAGGTCCCAGGATCTGCGCCATGGGGAACCGGGAGGGGCCGGGCTGGGTGCCGCCTCCTGGTCCTGTCTCCTCTCCACCAAGCTGCCCTCACCCTATGGATTGAGGCAGGAGGAACATTTGGGGGCAAACCTGCCTGCCTCCCAGCCCCGTGCCTTACTAGGGCTTCCTTCCAGCTGGCCTTACCTCCTGCTGGACCCCAGGCCTGGCCTAACCCCATTGGGGGCTGTGGGCTGGGCTCACCCCCTTCTCAGCGGGGGTGGAGGGGCACCAGCCTCGGCTGTTACAATCTTACACCGGACAGTATTGGGCCGCATGGACTTGGTCAGGGAGGGGTGGGGGTGGGCATCTCCGGTAGCTATTGGGGTGGGGGGCCTCTGAGAAGGGAGACTCCTAGGCCCCCTCATCCCTCCCTCTCCCCAGGGCCCCATGTTCTGCAGCCTTAAGGTTGAACGTGAACGCACGTCCATGTCAGTGCTGTGGGACTCCTGTGCGTGCCTCGGACTGCGTGTGTCAGCGGGATGCAGGCACACGTGGGTGTGTGTGCATGTGTGTTGTGTGTGAGGGCAGCGTGTCCTCCAGTGTGCGTGGTGTGTGGGCTTGGGCCCCATCCCTGGCCCGAGCATTTCATCCTGTGGGGGAGGGGTGCTGACCTAGTGGGAGGAGCCCCGCCTTGATCCATGAGCTGCCCTGCCCACGCCTCCCCTCCCTGCAGCAACACCTCTGGGTGTTTGGAGTTCAGCTTTTGTGGGTTTGCTCTCCCTACCCCATCTCCTGTACGATGCAGTTCATGGCAGGGTGGGGAGGGTGGGGTTGGTTCGGGTGGGTGAGGGTCTTTTTCCTCTGTGTGCGATGTCGTTATCTGACAGTTCTCCGTCCCTACTGGCCTTTCTCCTCGTCTTCATATTTGTACGGTACAAGCAATAAAGACACTCATTTCAGACCAGGGCCCAGCCTGCACTCACGCCGGCCCAGCCACTCTGGGCCTTGCCTTGGTGATGGAGTCGGACCCCTGGGCCCCAGCTCCTCCTGTAGTAGTCGCTCCCTTCAGCAAGCAGGGCGCTGAGCAGGGGCGTGGAGGTGAGAAGGAGCTCAGGGCCAGGGCAGCTGGGGTGTGTGCAGGAGCTCAGGCTGGAGAGGGTGGGTGCAGCTGGCGCTGTGGGGCTGAGGGGTGTGGGGAGGCTCCACGCTTGTGGGGCTGTGGTGGACAGAGACCTCTCCAGGCCCTCAGTGCTGCTGAAGCTAAGAGAGGTGGGGTGGAGGGACAGGGCTGGAAGATCTGGGTAGTCCAGAATGAGGAGGTGCCTGTGCTGTCACGGAGTGAGGGAGTGGTTCATTCCGCAGGGCTGCCGAGCCTTAGAGGGGGGCATTCCTGTCCTGCCCCACCTCCCCATTTATGCTGCCACCCGGAAGCCTCGAGGCCCCCAAATTCCAGTACAGACCCAGTGGTGTGTTCATGGTGGCGTGGCTGCTGTCTCCTGGGAGCTCCTGAGCGTTTGGTTGGAACCCCGTTCAGCTTGGGGTCAGCTCTCCGCTAGGCGCTGCCCTTTAGCCTGGCTGTGTCTGGGCCCCTGCACTTCCCATGCTTGAGTCACGTGGCCACATGGCCGGGCACTGGCCGGACAGCACGCCCCCCCCAGCCAGGGACCAGGGACCAGAGCTTTGGCCTGCCCTGCTGAGCCCTGCTGTGCAGAGGGCCTGGCACAGATGAATTTGAGATTTTGCCACAAGGTGTTAGCACTTCACACCCGTTGAGTCTTTGAGATTTTAAGTGAATATAAGCAGAAAAAGATCCAATTTACAGAAATCAGAGTTAGCTACAGCTAACACTCGTGTTCGGTTGGGGTTTTTTAGTTTGTCTTTCTAAAGTCCTGTGTACCTTAATTTAATTACAAAAGTCTACCCTGGTGGTCATAAGCAGGCAGGCCTATAAAGAGAGGCCTTTTACTCTTCCTTCTCGTCCCAGCCCCGAGTTGACCCACGTTGCTGCTGCTCACACCACGGTGACGCAAGTCTGGTGTGGGCACAGGCCTGGCTACCTCATCTTGTTAGTGGCTCTCTCCTCTTCCACAGGATGGGGGCCCACAGCTGCAGCAACCGGCCCCATAGTTGAGCACATGTGGTTATCCTATAGAGCTTTTCCCAAGGAGGGTGTTTGAACTTAGAGTCTTAATAAAATCTTACCAAATAAATTTTGAGTAGAATAATCGTCTTTTGCAATGTACATTTTAAAAATTTCACAAGTTCTTTTTTGTATATAAAGAACAGTAGACTGGGCACAATGGTTCACGCCTGTAATCCCAGCACTTTCAGAGGCCGAGGCGGACGGCTCTCTTGAGCCCAGGGGTTTGAGACCAGCCTGGGCAACATGGGGAGACCCTCATCTCTACAAAAAATACAAAAATTAGCTGGGCATGGTGGTGCATGCCTGTCATCCCAGCTGACTTGGAAGGCTGAGGTGGGAAGATCACTTGAGCCCAGGAGTTTGAGGCTGCAGTGAGCTGTGATTGCGACACTGCACTGCAGCCTGGGACAGTGAGACCGTGTCTCTAGAAAAAAAAAAAAAAACATGATACATGCCATTAAAAAAGACAGCAAAGCAGGAGTATAAGAAAGTAAATTCACCCAAGGTCTCAGGACCTTGAGTACTCACTTTGGTGCTGATTACCTCTGTGCAAATGGACACAGCATAATAAATTGGTAGTTTCCTGCTCTTTTTGCATCATCTTTTCCAGTTAATGTGAAGCCTCTGGGGGCTGCCCTGTGTGCATTGATAACTGTGTTGAGTCAGGGGTAGCAGTGAGATTCCCTTTTAGCTGCTGCATTTGGGGAACTCAGACTTTCCAGCTGCTTCCTCAGGGTAGACTCCTCAACCGGTTCAGCCGCCCTGTTAAAAGGAATTGACTTGGTTTCATTTGGTGCTACCAGCAGTCCTGTAATAAACTTTAGCTATCTGTCTGTACTGTGCTTGTGCTTTTGTTTGTCGTCTACATCCCACGATTTTAACGTCCAATACCTTCCCAAAAAAGTGTAGCCATTCACATAAATAAATTTTGAAATAATTGGAGACTTGCAGAAAACTTTGAAAAATAATACTGTACTAAGATTATTCCAGGCCTGGGGCAGGAAATGTACAAGATGAGCCTGGGGCGTCCTGCAGTGCCTGAAAGTAAGCACAGATGTGCTTAAGTCACAGGGACACAGGAGCCAGCAGAAAGCTCCCAGTGGTCAAAGCTGAAAAGAATTTGAACAACAAAATAAATAGCATAATACTGGGTTTTCACCCAAAATGTGAAATAAGTCTACTGCTAAGTGACAAAATGGTGTGAATACACAAATCTACACAAAATCATAAGTAATTTCTGTAGACAGCCTTCAAGGAGGGCTATGTAACCCCCACTTCTTAGGTGTGGGCTGCAGTAGCTCCTCCAAAGAGTGCAGTGTGGAGAGGGAGGAAAAAGTAACTTCTCAGTGAAGATCTGACAAACATCATCCAGCCGATCGAGGTCAACATTGCTGATGAATCCCCTTCACGGTGTCCCTTTAATGTGGTGTAATAGAAGGGCACTTTCCCTCTGATCCTCCTCCCGCAGACACACACCACCTCCCTGAGAGGAAGCAGACATCAGATCTCAGTTGAGGGATTTGTCTGTCAAGATGGTTAATCAGAAAAGTCTGAGAAAGTGACACATCCAAGATAAACCGAAGGAGTCATGGTGACTAAATGTGTCCTGAAATAGAACGTAGGGAAAAAGGAAGGCTGAATAAAGCATGGACTTAGTAGATGAATATTGGTCTAACAGATTGTGACAAATGGGGCACACTAATACGAGATGTTCATCGGGGAAATTGGGTGTGGGGTAGGTGGGAACTGTCTATTCAAAAATAAAAGTTATGTAAAAGGGTTACAAAATATACCCTTCACCAGGTTCTTCATAGCATTTTACTTAAAACGGACAAAAATGGGATCGGAATTTTCCATTTAGCCCTCCACCTCCTGCTCCACGTCTGTATACCTTTTCCAGAGAACATTCTGCTACATAACTGCTCTCCAGTTGTCAAGGTCAGGAAGCTAACGTTGAAACCGCTGTTCTTGACAGATTTTATAATGTCCGCTAGTGGTCACACTTGATGTCCTTGTATGTTAAAAATTCCTAGCTAATGACCAGGCTCACACGTTGCATCCAGTTGGCAGGTGTGAAACCCACAGGACAGTTATTTTGCAGTTATTTTCCCTCAACCAGGGTTGGTTGCCTCACTTTTTTTTTTTTTTTTTTTTTTTTTGAGACAAGAGTTTCGCTCTGTCACCCAGGCTGGAGTGCCATGGTGTGATCTCAGCTCTCTGCAACCTCGGCCTCCAGAGTTCAAGTGATTCTCCTACCTCAGCCTCCTGAGTAGCTGAGGTGACAGGCACCCACCACCACACCCAGCTAATTTTTGTATGTTTAGTAGAGACAGGGTTTCACCATGTTGGCCAGGCTGGTTTCGAACTGACCTCCAGTGATCCACCCACCTCAGCTTCCCAAAGTGCTGGGATTACAGGCTGAGCCACTGCGCCTGGCCTAAAGGTTTATTGTTTGTTAAGCTACTTACCTCTCACCATTTGCCCACAAGGAAATTCCTTGTGGACAAGACAGAGTTCAAAGTCATCCCTGTGCTTCCGTGAGACAAACCCATATTTGATGGCTTCCTCTGCCCTATTGTTTGAGCAAGACTAGGCATGGATGACTGTACCTGTAAATCGTGCATTCAGTAAATGGCTAATCAAACTCAAAGCAGCCGTTCGTCTCTTGTCTATGACCTGGAAGCCCCCTCCCCTGCTTCAAGTTGTCTCGCCTTTCCGGACCGAACCAGTGTACAGCTTACACATATTAATGACGTCTCATGTCTCCATAAAAATGATAAAACCAAGCGGTGCCCCGAACACCTCCTGAGGCTATGTCACGGGCACGTCCTTAACTTTGGCAAAATAAACTTTCTAAATTGATTGAGACCTATCTCAGACACCTTTTGGTTTACATAGTTAATAAGCATCTTGTGTAGAGGCATTTTGTAGATACCCTGATTCCTATCAGATGTTCACCCACTAGTTTGAACATCTATTGATGTTTCTTGCATGAAACGATGCTGTGGTGGTTGCCAAATAGAATTTTCCATCCTTCTATATTTATTAGTTCGGCCAGGCATGGCTCACATCTGTAATCCTAGCACTTTGGGAAGCCAAGGCGGGAGGATCACTTGAGCCCAGGAGTTCAAAACCAGCCTAGGCAACAAAGTGATACCCCAGTCTCTACAAAAAATTTTAAAATTAGGCAAGCATGGTGGCACACGCCTGTAGTCCCAGCTACTTGAGAGGCTGAGATGGGAGGCTCACTTGAGCCTAGGAGGTTTAGGCTGCAGTGAGTCATGTTCACACCACTGCACTCCAGCCTGTGTGACAGAGTGAGACCCTGTCTGAAAACAAAACACATCTATTAGTTCACATTCTAAGGATTAGAAGAGCTTTTCTTTCCCACTGTCTGAGTTATATCAGAATAAACATGTATTTTAATTTTATTCAGTAGTTTGTGATCTGTGACTATCATCTTGATGCTCATATTTTCTAGATTTAGCTAGTGACTTCTGCATCTATGTGACTTGCCCTGCCATTGGGACACTTTCTGCCACACAAAAGTATTCCAGATCTTGTACCTTCTCTTGTATGACCCTGGGATCAGCCATTTCTCCAAGTAGACCTGGTTCCTTTTAGTGGAGAATGGGATGCGGCGGCCAGGGCCTGGATGGTACCGGTGCTTCTTACTATTGGGGTGTCATTGCTCTTAAACCCTCCCAGTGGACTAAGCTAGGAAATACATGTTTGCATACCCAACACTTATTTCTATATATGTGTTCACACAATTTTATCTCCAATTCCATTGTGACACCGACACCACAAGGGTCATTCTAACCTCTGATCTATGTTTGTACATCCATCCTCTGACGGTACAAACCCTGATTCTACATTTTGAAATCATCCCGACTTTATGGTCGAGGAAAGTGAGGTTCAGAGGGGCTGCTTCTGGGCAGCAGGATGAGGCTCTGTCTCCAGCTGCCCGACCTCAGAGGGCTTCGAGAGGACAGAGCCAGCCTGCGGGGCACTCGCCTTTGTGCACCTGCCTAGGCGAGGCGGGCTCAGTGCGCACGCGCCCAGGCGCATTTAAAGCACCCGCCGCGCCTCTCTTCCCCTAGCTGCAAGGGTCGGTGCTTGGCCTCGCCCGCAACACCCTCCTGGAGGATGCTGGTGAGAGGCAGGGACCAGGGGCCCGGCTCCCGGCTCAGGCCTCTCTTTAGGCGCTGAGTCCCCAGGCCCTCTCCTTTGCAGAGTCCCGCTGCCTCCCTCGATGCAGAGCCTTCAAGCGACCCAGTCCCCGACGGCTTCCCCTCGGGCCCCAGTGTCTCCCCAAGACGCCTGGAGAGGCCGCCGGGGCTGGAGGAGGCGCTGAGCGCGCTGGGGCTGCAGGGAGAACGCGAGTACGCCGGGGACATCTTCGCCGAAGCCATGGTGAGCCGCCCCGCCGCTTGCCCTGGTGAGGCCGACGCCAGCCCCCCACCCAGCACCCACTCAACACCACCTCTGAACTCCCACCGCTCCAGCCCCTCTCCTCCCCATCACTGGCGGCCGGCGTTCCTTCTCTGCAACGTCCAGGCTGTTGTTTTGTTTTCACAGAGCACCGTTTCTACCGCTGGGAATGCCCTTTCCCACCGTCCCCGGGCTCTTTACAGCCCCTCCTGGGGTGTTTGTGGTCCCCGTACTTATCCTCCACATTTATTCAACAAATATTTAATGGTTTAGTAGCAAATGTTTTAAGCGCTGGAGATGCTGCAGTGCTGGCCTCGTTCTGGGGAGATGAGCAAACACATAGGACAGTTAGGGAAAGGCCATCCACACCAAAGCGTTGCCCTTGCCAGCCTTCAGACATCCCTATGAGAGGGGTGCTGCGGCAGGAAGACTGAAGGGAGGAGTTTATTTAACGTCTTGCCAGCGACTCTCCTGGGCCAGGATCTCTGTTAGGGCCTGAGAGACACCTGTGTTCTGGGCAGAAGTCCCTGCCCTCATGGGACTGGCAGCCTAGCGGCCAAATAGACAAAGCATACAGGGAGACATCTTCAGAGTGAAAATGCTGAGACAAAGAGATAGTGATTGGGTGGGAGGAGTATAAATAAAGTCATGGAGATGTTAGTTGAATGACGGAAAGGCCGTGCAAGGCGTTGGGGAAGGACCCTCTCTGTAGAAGAAACAGGAAGTGCAAAGGAGCTGGGGTAGGAATGGGCTTGGTATAGTCTAGGAGCCAAGAAGGTGGCTGTGGCTGATGTGTGGGTTGTCGGGGAAGAGAGGGAAGAGGTGATGTTGAAGCAGAGCCTGAAAGAAATTAGAGTTTTCTCCAAGGGTACTGGGAGCTATGGAAGGGTTTTATAAGCTGGGGAGTTCCTTGGTCAGATCTTTCTTTGGGAAGACCCTTTTGGGTGCTCTGAGGCAGAGAGGTTGAGGATTGGTGGTCAAGAGTTGAAGTCTGAGGCTGGGCGCAGTGGCTCATACCGGTAATCCCAGCACTTTGGGAGGCCAAGGTGGGCAGATCACCTGAGGTCAGGAGTTCAAGACCAGTTTGGTCAACATGGTGAAACCCCGTCTCTACAAAAATACAAAAATTAGCCGGGCGTGGTGCTGCATGCCTGTAATGCCAGCTACTCCGGAGGCTGAGGCGAGAGAATCACTTGAACCCAGGAGGCAGATGTTGCAGTGAGCCGAGATCGTGCCATTGCACTCCAGCCTGGGCAACAGAGTGAGACTCCGTCAAAAAAAAAAAAAAAGGTGAAGTTCTGGGAACCTAGGGGGAGACACCCAGGAGACTATGTGGCTCTGGGGGCTACAGACTGGAGAGGTGGGTATGGAGGCATCTGAAACAAAGCCCAGAGTTCTAGGTGAGGACATGTAAGAGGAGCTCATTTGGAGGCCAGTTTGGGTGTGGCACACCTGAGATGTCCAACTGACTGGAGGAGGCTGCTACACCCAGGGCTGGAGCTCAGGAGAAAGGCAGAGGCACAGGTGTGGAGAGTGAGGCATCCCTGCCCTAATCCCAGGTGTGCCGCATGCTGCCCCGGAGAGCCCTGCCCCGCGCTGTGACCCCGGAGATGCGCGCCCTGGTGGTAGACTGGCTGGTCCAGGTGCACGTAGGTATCTGGAAGGGTGTGGGGGGCTGAGTTTGCGTCGCCGCCTGGGACCCCGTGGTCACCTGTGCCCCTCCTCAGGAGTACCTGGGTTTGGCTGGTGACACACTTTACCTGGCGGTGCACCTGCTTGATTCCTACCTGAGTGCTGGCCGCGTGCGCCTACATCGCCTGCAGCTGCTGGGCGTGGCCTGCCTGTTTGTGGCGTGCAAAATGGAAGAGTGCGTGCTTCCCGAGGTACTTCCGGGGTGGGGTTTGGGAGGGTGGATGGAGTCCTTTGGGGAGTCACTGATTCAGTGCCTACTGTGTGCCAAGCACCGTGCTGTGTCTGGGATTCACATGTATGAGGGAGGGGCTGTCAATGTGTCCCTTAAACAGAAGAGGAGACCGAGGCCCAGAGAGAGGAAGACACTTGCCCCACATCAAACAGTTGGAACTTCGACTCTGTCTAGAATAGTCTGTCTTAAGGCTGGGGGTGATGGCTCACGCCTGTAATCTCAGCACTTTGGGAGGTTGAGACGGGCAGATCACTTGAGGTCAGGAGTTTGAGACCAGCCTGACCAACATGGTGAAACCCTGTCTCTACTATAAATACAAAAATTAGCCCGGCGTGGTGGTGCACGCCTGTAGTCCCAGCTACTCAGGAGGCTGAGGTAGGACAATTGCTTAAATCCAGGAGGCGGAGGTTGCAGTGAGGTGAGATCACGCCACTGCACTCCAAAACAAAACAAAACAAAAAAACTCAAAAGGTATATCACTTTGGGAAACCAAGATGACCTCGTCTCTAATTTAGAAAAGTAAATAAAAATAATATAAACTAGGCCATCTTGAATAGTTACCGTCAGCATGCATGAATTTAGTGCCTTATCAGAACTGCCTGGTGAAGCAGGGAGTAGTATCTATTTTATGGCGGGCGGGGGGGGTGGTGGGAATGAGGCAGAGAGCTGAAGTGAATGTCCTGTGTGTCACAGTGAGCAGATGGTGGGGTTTGAACTCGAACCCAGGTCTTGAACCCAGGACTCTCAAGCCTGTGCTCTCTACGACTTCCAAACACAAGTCAATGGCCCCATTTTACACACCAGGAAACTGAGGTCCGGAACCTGGGGCCTTTTCAGGGCAGGGAGTAAAGAGCCGGGATCCAAGACTCCTTCACCTCCCCGCGCATTCCCCATCTGCAGCCCGCCTTCCTCTGCCTCCTGAGCGCCGACTCCTTCTCGCAGGCGGAGCTGCTGCGAGCCGAGCGCCGCATCCTGAGCCGCCTGGATTTCCGGCTGCACCACCCGGGTCCGCTGCTGTGCCTCGGGCTGCTGGCCGCGCTGGCAGGGAGCAGCCCCCAGGTGAATCCTGGTGGATACGGGGGTGGGGGCGTGGCCGACGCGAGGTGGGGCGTGGCCTGACAGTCGCCCCGCCTCACTTGCAGGTGATGCTACTTGCCACCTACTTCCTGGAGCTGTCTTTGCTGGAGGCCGAGGCGGCGGGATGGGAGCCAGGTCGTCGCGCGGCTGCGGCTCTGAGCCTGGCGCACCGCTTGCTAGACGGCGCGGGCTCCAGGCTCCAGCTGGAACTTTACAGGTGTAGTCTTGGCGTATGGGATCACAGCAGCTTCAGGGACTTCCCTTCCTGGTGATTTTTACCGTCTCAGAGAACGAGAGACCATTATTGGGGAGGAGGTGGCACCTAGACTTGATTTTTCTGTGTAGGGGAGAGAATGGAGTGGGAGGACCCCATTAGTCCAGATCTGGGGGCTCTTAACCTTGCTCCAGGGTGGAAGATAGTCTCCCAGGCCCAGAAGATGCTCCTGTTGCCTTCCAGGGCTGAGAACGAAGGGTCTCTCAGGCCTCGAGTCCTCCATCTCTGTATCTGGTGATGGATGGGGGTCCCTTTAGCTGCTAGGGCCGCTAACCATGCTACCAGGTGGCAGGGCGAACCACGGTTTCCCCCAGGATAGGATGGCTGCCCATCCTCAGCTCCCCTCTTTGCTTCCTTGCGTGTTCCGACTCCGCACTAGCCGCGCCCTGTAGGAAGAATTGGGTGTCCACCTCTCCCCGGTGCTCACCTAGTCACTCCAGTTGAGGATGGGACGCGTGCCGGATCTCAAGAGAGCCCCTGACCCGTCCTTGGGGACCCACATCGACGCTGCTTCTCACGAGTCCCCAGTTTCAAGGATGGGTCATCTCCAACCCCTTGTCCTACCTTAGTTTCTCCATCTCCCTGCTGCAGCCCCGAGGAACTGGGCCCCCTCGAGCCGTGCATGGCCCGCGCTGCGCTCCGAGGTCCCGCGCCGGGCCGCGCCGCAGTCTTCCTCAAGTACGCGCGGCCCCAGCGCCAGGGCACCAGCCTCACCGCCGCCTGCCTGCTCCGCTGCCTCCAGCCTGAGCCCCCCTGAGCGCTGAGACTCAGTCACAAAAACAACAACAAAAAAACCCCAAAACCCTCCCAGTGTGTGTCCATCTCTCATCTCAATAAAAGAATGTATTTTATTTTGAGCGCTCTCTGCCCTCATTGGGCGAATTCCAGTCCCTTCTAGCTTTTGATTGGTCGCTTTCCAGGCCTCGCATCCCTCTGATTGGATGTTCTCACCACTTCCTTTAATGGTTGCTGGGATATAAAATGCGAATTCTGAGCTCCACCACCAGGGGGCAATGGCGGGCTTCCCCAAGGGCCATTCAGCAGGATAAAACTGGGATCCCTTAAGGACTGGCAAGAAATCACGAAGGATGGGGACTGCGAGGAACTGAGAATGCCCGCCCCGGTCAGAAGAAATGCTATCTCGATGTTGCCAGCTTTTCAGATCTTATTCAAGTAAATCTGAAATTCTGCAATTCTAAATCTGCTTTTAGATGTCAACTAATTCAGTATTTCCTTTTTTTTTTTGAGACGGAGTTTCGTTCTTGTTGTCCAGGCTGCTGGAGTGCAATGGCGCGGTCTCAGCTCACTGCAAACTCTGCCTCCCGAGTTTAAATGATTCTCCTGCCTCAGCCTCCCAAATAGCTGGGATTACAGGCGCCTGCCACCATGCTCAGCTAATTTTTCTATTTGTAATAGAGATGAGTGTCACCATGTTGGTCAGGCTGGTCTCGAACTTCTAACCTTAGGTGATCCTCCCGCCTCGGCCTCCCAAAGTGCTGGGATTACAGAAGTGAGCCACCGCACCCGGCCTAATTCAATATTTCTTAGTGGTAGTACAAGCCCAATGCATCACATATACTGGGCTATGAAGATAGGGTCTCCCAGGCCTGGAAGATGCTCTGTGAAGGTCATCAGTTTGTAGTAGTAAGTCCTGGATAGTGAGAGTTTGATCAATGGGGTCTGATATGCTTAACCTGGGAAATGCCCAGGTGTCAACGGGGATAATTATGGTACCAACCTCCCGACACTGTGGTGAGGATGTGAGTTAAAATATACGTAAAGCGGCCAGGTGCGGTGGCTCAAGCCTGTAATTCCAGCACTTTAGGAGGCCGAGGCTGGTGGATCACGAGGTCAGGAGTTCGAGACCGGCCTGGTCAACATAGTGAAACCCTGTCTCTACTAAAAATACAATAAATTAGTCGGCGTTGTGGGAGGCACCTGTAATCTGAGCTACTCAGGAGGTTGAGGCAAGAGAATTGCTTGAACTCGGGAGGTGGAGGTTGCCGTGAGCAAAAAAACCCCAAAACCCTCCCAGTGTGTGTCCTGTCTCTTATACACATCTAGATGTGTATAAAAGTACAGCTTTATGACGATGTCTGACACCTAGGAGGTGTTGTAAAAGTGTTAACATTGTATCCCAGCAGGACTGTGATTTTAGGTACGGTTGTCCTCTGCTACTGTGCCCAGGTACCTAGGCATTTACTTGGTCAGAAAACATGGTTATGAATCAACGGATTTTTTTTTTTTAAAGACAGGGTCTCACTCTTTCATCATTCAGGTTGGAATGCTGTAGTGTGATCTCAGCTCACCGAAACTTCCACCTCTTGGGTTCAAGCAATCCTCCCACCTCAGCCTTCCAAGTAGCTGGGACCACTGGCGCATGCCACCATACCTGGCTAATTTTTGTATTTTTGGTAGAGACACGGTTTTGCCATGTTGCCCAGGCTGATCTCGAACTCCTTAGTTCAGGTGATCCACCTGCCCCAGCCTCCCAAAGTCCTGGGATTACTGGTGTGAGCCACTGCGCCCAGCCAGATCTCCGTGTTTTTAATTACAAAACAGACACACCCGAGGTGGGGAAGGGTGTGTGCACTGCTCAAGAACTCAAACTCAGGAGTTTTATACTCCTAACTGAGCCTGGGTTTGGAGATGCAGAGAGGAAAATGTTTGCACCCCTGAGGTGTTCAAGGCTGGACCCCAGGGATAAGGGAGAAACTCAGCAAAAGCGTTTTACAGCAAAGTACAATAAGAGATAGAGGCAGATGCTGTGGTTGAGATGGAAGGTGCTGAGTTCCGGTTTCTGTCTGTCACATGTGACTTGCCATGGGACCTCCAGCTGGAGGATGTGCTGTGGGGGTGGAGGTGGGGAGAGTGGAGACTCTTGGGGCTGAGACCCAAGCTAGAGTCTCAGGGGAGGGGGAAGGAGTAGTAATGCATAATGCCTTTCACTCACACACTCATTCATTCAACAACTATATATGGATGCTGACTCAGAGCCAGGCCCTCATGATCACATGACTCAGAGTCTAATGGATGATAAGAACACCAGTTGTTAATTGCCCATTAATGTATGAAGCCCTGTGCTAAATGCCTTACCTGAATAAGATAATTCCGTTCCTGCAACCGCTCTGAGGTTAACTTGCCTTTTATCCTCATGTCACACAGAGGAAGTCCAAGGAGGACGATAGAGGAACTTGGCCCAGGTCCCACAACTAAGGAGTCAGCTAAGGAGGACTGAAGGGCAATTCACCCTCGGTTTTTTTCTTGAAAGCTTCCTGCATGCTTCCTTTCCTGGGGACTTGTTCGCCTTCTCACTAGTTTTCCCCCATAGACAGGTGAGCTGGGTGAGGGCAAGAAGGAGATGTCTCTTGTTTATAGAGTTACTCCCTCCTCCAGGAGGACTTTATCACCACTTCAGCCCAGGGCAGGTACCTCCCACATCCCAGTTCCGACCCCCTGCCTGTGCCTCTTCCACCTCGGCCCTGACCCCTCTGCCTGTGCTTCCCAGGCTAGCCTGCTCAGGGCTGTCACTGTCTGGTCACTGGTCTGTCTTCCCACTGAACTGGGGGCCCAGTGAGGGTAGGGTCTGAAGCTCACGCAGTCTCTGCTATGTCCCACCATCATCCAGCACAGAGCTGGGCACAGAAAGGACGTCAGTGAATATTTGTTTCATAAATTAACAGATGAATCCCAAAGGTGGTATTATTTTTAATGTATCTCTTTTCTTTTCTTTTTCCTTTCCTTTCCTTTCCTTTCCTTTCCTTTCCTTTCCTTTCCTTTCCTTTCCTTTCCTTTCCTTTTTTGAGACAGCATCTCCCTCTGTCACCCAGGCTGGAGTGCAGTGGCACAATCTCGGCTCACTGCAATCTCTGCCTCCCACGTTCAAGTGATTCTCCTGCCTCAGTCTCCCGAGTAGCTGGGACTACAGGTGCACGCCACCACACCAGGCTAATTTTTGTGTATATATACAAAAATTTTGTATATATTGTATATTAGTAGAGACAGGGTTTTGCCATATTGGCCAGGCTGGTCTCAAACTCCTGACCTCAAGCGATCCGCCCGCCTGGGCCTCCTAAAGTGCTGGGATTACAGGCGTGAGCCACCTCGCCTGACCCTAAAGGTGATATTATTGTCCCATGTTACTGATGAGGATACAGAGTTCCAGGTAGTTTAAGCGAGCTGTCTAAGTCATACCACTAGTGAGAAAATAAGCTGGGATTTGAATTTGGGAAGCTTGGGTCCAAATCCTGTGTTCTCATTGGATATGCCAAATGGCCAGTGGGCTGAAAGCCAGCTTTCTGTGAGGCTGATGTCTTCCTGCTCTTCCTCCTAGGCTCTTCCTTTCCTTCTAGAAATCTTCGGGAGCTTTGGGCACCAGGGAGAAGAGCAGGCAGGAGGGTGGGGAGGGTAAGGGGAATGGGAACAATTTGGGGGGCGGGCTGGAGAACTAGGACTTGGCTAATCTGAGAGTGAGCATGGGGGAAGTCTCGAGGGGTTTCCCTAGACCCATAGGGGGCAGCCGGAGTCGGCTGCCGGAGGTGAGGGGGCGGAGAAAGGGTGGGGACCAGC